GCAGAAGCTTCTGATTTACAGTCTGGGACAGAGAAAAAGTGTATGTAGTGAGTGTATAAGAAAGGGAACATGCCACAGCATTAGAGAGACAGTAGCAGCAAGAGCATTGGCATAGTGCGCAAAGTCAGCTTTACCTTAACTAATTTCATTGTCAGCCAGGCCACACATTTTGTTCCCCTACAGCCCTCTTAAGTTTCCATACTTAAGCAAGAGCATGTGAAGAGTAGTAAATATATATATATATATATATTTTTTTTTTTTTTTCTTTTTAACAATGGGCCTATTCCATGTGCATGCAGCTTCATCAGCCCCTAAATTAATCCAGCCCTGACTATGCTTTCAGATTCAAACACAATACATTACAAGCATTGTAGAAATATGCACACATATATAGATATGCAGTTGTCAAACATAATTTTTTTTGTAGAGTTTTTTTTAGGCCAACAATGTCCAGTTAATACATTTATTATACTCACTTTATCTTCATTATTTAGGTTTGGGGAGAAGGGGCTGCCTCAGAATTCTGTGCCTACAGACACATGACATGTTGGCCCTGGCGGTTACACATTTTTTTTAAAAATGGACTGCTTGTGTAGAGTAGAACCCTGCCACTTCCCTGCATCAGAACTTCAAAGGTTTATGTAAAACCCTCAAAGATGAATTTGCTTGGGTGATAAATAGGTTGGGTTGCCTGATTAAATATACTAACATTGCAGATTTTTTTGTGCAAAAAAAAAGAGGAATTTTGAAAAAAAAAAATTGTACTTTTTTCAATATACCATTTCACTCATTTACTTTTTAGGGAATAAGTATAAATCCCTCCTTATTAAATATATATCCAAACATATACATATGTAAATACATATTTCAAAATACTACACATAAGAAAATAATTCACATACCCCAGGGTTCTAGTATGTTTAAACGAACACTAGCGGCACCAGATTAAATACTTGGGGCGCGATTCATCGGTTATTTTAGCTACTATCAAGTTCTGGTTGTGTGTCCCCCAGTACTCTTCTCTCCCTTTTCCCTGAGCTGACATTTAATTCCTGGATTTGATTGACCCTCTATCTATCCGGGGCTCAGTGTGTTAATAAGAGTACGGCACACTACAGACTTCTATATTGACCATAATTTTAGCAGCCATTAGTATAGAACTTGTAGCATATACAGAGTTACCTCTTATTCAGTATAGCTTGAGAGTGTTGCTTATCAATATTAGGATTATATTTTTATTCCATCCTCTATCTTATACCTGGTGCCCTTGAAGGCACTATTCTTTCTTGGTCTATTTGGTGACTCCTTATCACTAGATATCACATTTTTCTATAGAATTACAATTACCAAACAACGCTGTCCTTCCCTTTAATTGAGAAATTTCACCAGCGATTATTTGAATACTAATATAGCATGCCGTAATATCTGCTCTCATTCTTTATACTATAATTTTTGACGACATTACTATTGCACAAGTCTATTCACTAATTTCACTACAGATAGAGTTTATATTTTAGAAGAATCTCTGGTGGTTGAACTGATTGATGCATTGTAGTGTATCCTTTTGCCCTATATAGCGATATCAACACACTGAAGGGATTCTCTTAATTGTATCTTATTATTTTTGGTTACATATACACTAACCCATTTGAATGTAAATGATATCGAAGGCAGTATTATCCATGATAGTTACATTAGACTTCACTGGGTACCTTATTACATCTCTTGATACAATTTAATAGAAATTGAATGGTATTGTCAGCCTCACTCAGTGGGATTCTCTTGGACTATATCCTATTTCGGATTTACTGACACCACTACATATTCATTCTTTTTCATGTTATGTTATGTGTAAACTCTATCCATTAGATTATTAGATTATTTATTCTATAGATTTTTTTCTTTTTCTTGTGTGCTCCGTGCTTTGTCTGCCATAATTGACTCTTGTATAGTCAGGTAGCCATCGCTGTTTTTTTTTTTATAGATTTATGTTCTCTATAATATAATAAAGTATCTTCGAGATTTTGAACTGTTTGTGTGTACCTTATATTGGTAGTAAGGACAGACTCTTTTCTTTCCTTTTTGTTCGGTACTCTTTGATGGTTACCCCCTATTCTGTCTCTACAGATTCCTGAATATTGACCTTTTTGGCCAAAATTCATTATTTATTCAGATTAAATACTGCTTAATGTAATTGTTCTGGTGTCTACTGCCTGTCCCTGCAGGCTTTTTAATGTAAACAATGCATTTTCAGAGAACAGGCAGTGTTTTTTTTTTCTCACTATTTTCTACTTGAAGAAGCCCGTTGTAGGCGAAACGCGTCTAGAAATAGTTTTTAATAATTTTATATTTTGATATAATAAAGGGATTTTGGCTCTAAACATTTTGGTTGCCACATTCCTTTCTTATTTTACCGTTTTACTTATATTATTTTATCCTTAGCCTGACTACATTGTTTTTTTACCATCTAAAGAGACGACAAAAAAATCCTTAGGTGGGGATTGTACCACCCATACGCTATACATCGAGCAGTGAGCCTGCTCAATATATTGTGAGTACATTTCATATTTTTTATTTCTTCTACTACAGTGAGATACAGTGAGCACTTTATTTTTTATTCTTTTTATTCTCAGCTGAAATGATACTGCCGTTGGACTATTGAATTTCGAGTTATACTCCATATATCCTTGAGTGGGGATCATTCCACTTCACGCACTTCATACCAGAGCTGGATTGTAGCTCTGGAAATTGTGAGTAGTACCTACTTATAATTTTTAATATCCAAGTATATTTTCATACTGCACCATTGGATTTCCGTTTCTCTGCTTCTTTTTCATATGTTCCACTGAAATTACTGAAGTCTGCACCTGTGACAAATCACTGCTGCTCTGCAAGAATTTTCCTTTCCATTGTGGACTTTATTACTCTGGACTAGTGTTAAATTATTTGGACTATACTATTTTATTTGTACAAAATATTTACATTAAAGGTACACCCTTCTTTTTGTTTTCTGTTCTATCTTTAATTATCTATAGGGGATTAGAGGGTATTCCCTTGTTTGTAGGTGTGCTGCCTGTACAATACATATACTTCTTCATTTTGTGGCACTTTAGCGCTGATCCTACCTTGACCTTAGTGTTTACATTACTGCCTAGGGACTCCTCTAGTGGCAGACACTTAGATGGCTACAAGTGGTGCTTCCTGGGTCAGTGCTGCACACTGTACAGCACTGATGTCCAGCGTCTCCGCACACTGCATGAAGGTGCTGAACGTTCCTCACAGAGACACACTGATTCAATGCATCTCTATGAGGAGATGCTGATTGGCGAAGTGTGGGGTTTAGCCATGCATGCATGATTGCCTCCAAATGCTATCCCATGAGAAAGGAAATCAAGGGCAGCACAAAAACCAGGATACACCACTGAAGGTAGGGATGCAGGCTGTAATACAGAGGCAGTGAAAGTGAGGGTCTGAAAGATGTAGTGCCAGGCCGGACAAGGCTCCGTAGAAGCAGCCAACAGGAAAACGCTGGGGAATCCGCAGACACCGACAGGCCGCAGGAAACAATAACTGCAAGCACTGACCGGGAGAGGTTCACCACTGACAGGCAAGAAAACGGTGCTGCAAAAAACGCTCTGCAGAGAATTGATACAGGACCAACCACTTCCTCAGCACAGCAAACTCGGGCATTCTGGCAAGGACCACGAACAAGTTGCATGAGCCCTCACAAACACATCCAGCACCACGCAGCCCCCGCAAGCCTTACCCACCGCAGAGCACGCCAATTACTCCGCCAGCACAACCCAATGACTGACGCCAAGCAGGGATCCCACAAGGAAACAGAAAAATCGACACCACAGACAGCCAACCGAAGCGGAGCCCAGGAAAGGACAAAGAAAAATGAAAAAGAAAAAAATGGTGGGGGAATGGCAGACCATGCGAGGGAAGCGGATGGTGACCGGAAATAGCGACATGTGAATCACTAAAATCACGTACGGGACGGAGGAAGGTGAGTAGGGGATTTAAGTATGGTAACATGCCCCTCCCACAACTGCAGGCCAAGCCTTTACATTAATGCTACCACGTACTTCCCCTATGCAATTCCCTTTTTCATTTCTTTACCCATAAAACTTAATAAAAATTGTCAAATTGAAAAAAAAAAACCTATAAATGTAGCAAGCCGTTATATGCTTTGCAGAGTCTGTAGAAATCTACCAGTCAACCAGCAGCTGTCCTTAACGTGCTGCAAGATTTATAGGGATGATATATCAGACAGGTATATGTACAGGGACACTTACAGAAGATAAATCTGTTGATCACAATTTTATTGATACACCGTGCTAGCTAAATTCTTTCTTGATGTATAATCACAAAGTTATTTCCTTTTATGGCATCCTTAGCCTTTTCAGCATTGTTGCATGGATTACAAATATTACCCAAGTACACAGGCAGCTGCCTAAGGCACCCTGGGTGCTTCACAAGGGCAAGGGTGCAGCACAAGAGGCTGCTCTGTCCATTCACAGAGATTAAGATGCAATAGGAAGCTTGCAGTGGCAAGTAATATTTAAGCTTGTGTATTGTTTTTTAACCTCAAACACAATAAGGTTACAGCAGTAAATCCAGCAATCAATATTTAAAACCTAAATTAAAATCAATCAACCATTCACTAATTAAAACGTAAATGAAAACAAACCCCCCAATCACTAATTAAAACTAAAACCATTTTGCAACACAAACACCTATTAGCACCGAGTAAAGTTGTTAGTTTACACAATACACCAGCATTGGAATATCTAATTTACTATAACAAGAAAAATAAACCAACCATTATTATTATTATTATTAGTATGATATTTATAGAGCGCCGTCAAAATATGAGGAGATGCTGATTGGCGAAGTGTGGGGTTTAGCCATGCATGCATGATTGCCTCCAAATGCTATCCCATGAGAAAGGAAATCAAGGGCAGCACAAAAACCAGGATACACCACTGAAGGTAGGGATGCAGGCTGTAATACAGAGGCAGTGAAAGTGAGGGTCTGAAAGATGTAGTGCCAGGCCGGACAAGGCTCCGTAGAAGCAGCCAACAGGAAAACGCTGGGGAATCCGCAGACACCGACAGGCCGCAGGAAACAATAACTGCAAGCACTGACCGGGAGAGGTTCACCACTGACAGGCAAGAAAACGGTGCTGCAAAAAACGCTCTGCAGAGAATTGATACAGGACCAACCACTTCCTCAGCACAGCAAACTCGGGCATTCTGGCAAGGACCACGAACAAGTTGCATGAGCCCTCACAAACACATCCAGCACCACGCAGCCCCCGCAAGCCTTACCCACCGCAGAGCACGCCAATTACTCCGCCAGCACAACCCAATGACTGACGCCAAGCAGGGATCCCACAAGGAAACAGAAAAATCGACACCACAGACAGCCAACCGAAGCGGAGCCCAGGAAAGGACAAAGAAAAATGAAAAAGAAAAAAATGGTGGGGGAATGGCAGACCATGCGAGGGAAGCGGATGGTGACCGGAAATAGCGACATGTGAATCACTAAAATCACGTACGGGACGGAGGAAGGTGAGTAGGGGATTTAAGTATGGTAACATGCCCCTCCCACAACTGCAGGCCAAGCCTTTACATTAATGCTACCACGTACTTCCCCTATGCAATTCCCTTTTTCATTTCTTTACCCATAAAACTTAATAAAAATTGTCAAATTGAAAAAAAAAAACCTATAAATGTAGCAAGCCGTTATATGCTTTGCAGAGTCTGTAGAAATCTACCAGTCAACCAGCAGCTGTCCTTAACGTGCTGCAAGATTTATAGGGATGATATATCAGACAGGTATATGTACAGGGACACTTACAGAAGATAAATCTGTTGATCACAATTTTATTGATACACCGTGCTAGCTAAATTCTTTCTTGATGTATAATCACAAAGTTATTTCCTTTTATGGCATCCTTAGCCTTTTCAGCATTGTTGCATGGATTACAAATATTACCCAAGTACACAGGCAGCTGCCTAAGGCACCCTGGGTGCTTCACAAGGGCAAGGGTGCAGCACAAGAGGCTGCTCTGTCCATTCACAGAGATTAAGATGTAATAGGAAGCTTGCAGTGGCAAGTAATATTTAAGCTTGTGTATTGTTTTTTAACCTCAAACACAATAAGGTTACAGCAGTAAATCCAGCAATCAATATTTAAAACCTAAATTAAAATCAATCAACCATTCACTAATTAAAACGTAAATGAAAACAAACCCCCCAATCACTAATTAAAACTAAAACCATTTTGCAACACAAACACCTATTAGCACCGAGTAAAGTTGTTAGTTTACACAATACACCAGCATTGGAATATCTAATTTACTATAACAAGAAAAATAAACCAACCATTATTATTATTATTATTAGTATGATATTTATAGAGCGCCGTCAAATTCCGCAGCGCTTTACAATGGGTGGACGAACAGACATGTAGTTGTAACCAGACAAGTTGGACACACAGGAACAGAGGGGTTGAGGGCCCTGCTCAATGAGCTTACATGCTAGAGGGAGTGGGGTAAAATGACACAAAAAGGTAAGGATTAGACTAATGAATCATCAATGGCATGCACTCCATCCAAGATGAAATTAAAGGGACACTCCCAATTTTTAAGTCATTTTAGTTTGCTGAAGTGCTTTATGTGTGAAGAGAGTACCATTTTAAAAAAAATTTATTAATAGGAATTGGCACTCCTATTGGATAAATGATCCTTGTTACAGCCCCCTGGCTGTCAAGCACATAACAGATCATATTACTTCCTGGTTTGATTGGCTCGAAAGGAGCCAAAGTTAAGAGGCAGCAGTTACCCACAGTATCCACTTTGCAAAGATTTGTAATTAACCCCTTAAGGACTGAGCCAAATGTACACGTTGTGAACAAAACAAAACGTAAACAAAACCTGGCATTTGCGCTATATTTCTGTCCAACCGTAATTCACCTCTTTCATATTAAATGCACCCACCCTTATTAAATATCATTTTATTCAGGGGAAACAGGGCTTTCATTTAATATCAAATATTTAGCCATGAAACATAATTTAATATGAAAAACATGGGAGAAAATAAATGTTGTTATTCTTTTAGTTCTACATGACATTTGAACTGTCAATGTCATAATACTGTTTGCTTTTACTGCAATAAAATACACATATTTGTATTCAGCAAAGTCTCACGTATAAAACAGTACCCCCTATGTACAGGTTTTATGGTGTTTTGGGAAGTTACAGGGTCAAATATAACACGTTACATTTGAAATTGAAATTCTCCAGATTGGTTAAGTTGCCTTTGAGACTGTATAGTAGCTCAGGAATTAAATTTACACCCATAATGGCATACCATTTGCAATAGTAGACAACCCAAGGTATTGCAAATGGGGTATGTCCAGTCTTTTTTAGTAGCCATTTGGTCACAAACACTGGCCAAAGTTAGCGTTAGTATTTGTTTTTGTGTGAAAAATGCAAAAAACGCCAATTTTGGCCAGTGTTTGTGACAGAGGCTACTAAAAAAGACTGGACATACCCCATTTGCAATACCTCGGGTTGTCTACTATTGCAAATGGTATGCCATCATAGGGGTAATTTTCATTCTTGGGCTACCATATGGTCTCAAACCAATCTGGCGAATTTTAATGTGAAAAAAATGAAAAAGTATCACAGCAATAATATTGTCCGTGTAAGTGCTGTTTGTGTGTGAAAAATGCAAAAAAATTCACTTTTACTGGCGATATCATCGTTGTAATACATTTTACTGTTTTGAAACACTAATATTTGTGTTCAGCAAAGTCCCCCGAGTAGAACAGTACCCCCCTTGTACAGGTTTTATGGTGTCTTGGAAAGTTATAGGGTTAAATATAGTGCTAGCAAATTAAATTCCCTTTACTTTCGGCATGGGTTGTCAGGCAGGTCCCGCTAATTGTAATTAATTAAGATACCTAATTATGTAAAAATATTACATAAATATATATGTAGAATTAATATATGTATATATGTATACGTATGTGTATATATATATATATATATATATATGTACATATATAATTTTTTACAAATATTTTTATTTATATATAGGTATATATATAGTGTTATATACGTATATTTTTATGTATATAGATATATATATTATTTTGTTCTACGTGTATTTTGATATAAATATATATATATATATATTAATATCACAATACAGTTAGAACGAAATAACACACATCTATATATTTTTGAATTATTTATTTTTATTTATTTTTTGAATTTTATTTTTTAACGTATTTCCATTTTTTTTATATTATATATAAATATATATATAACAATAATTATATATATATAGTTAATCAGTATCAGTCTACGTGTAATTTGATATTAATATATATATATATAATGATATATATATTCATAATAAATACACCTAGACAGTGTATGTGTGTGTATGTATATGTGTATATATATATATGTTCTAAGTATATATTTTTTTTTTACACTCATTTTAACTTTATTTTCTTTGAATTCAGCCAGCAGGGGGACCAACTGTCATAACAGGCAGTCCCCCTGCTGGCAATGCAGCAGCCAGCTAACCCGGCCATGTGATTGTGAGGTCCTCGCAAGGACCTCACTCTGACATGGCCGGGGGGGGGGGCGGAGGAGGCAGGATCCGCTGCGGGGGACTCCCTGGGATCCCAGGTGAGTCTCCCCAACCGTGATCACCGGCGTGGGATTGCCGGTGACCGGCTAAGTAAAAAAAACGCGGAGGGCGTACTATTACGCCCTGCGGCGTTTAGAGCCGCTTAGAATAGGGTGTAATAGTACGCCCTCCAGTTTTAAAGGGTTAAGCTGCATGGGAAATCTGTGATTGGACAGCCACAGAAAGTCTGGGCTGGGGGTTAAAATGGGAGGGCTTGCAAAGAGAGCAGACAATAGTTCAGCAGCTCTTGCAAGCAGTTTTGAGCTATACTCTCCTTTTTAAATGCATAATTAAATGCATGTATGTTTCATATGGGGTATATCTACTAGACAGTGATTTTTATTTATCTTATTTGGGCAGTGGAGGGTCCCTTTAAGGGAGTGTAAGGGAAGGGATCTTTTTACATTACATTATAACAGCACTATGGATCCATAAGGCTTAAGCCCTCAGAGTTTCATAATCCATCAGCAGCCATAGCTTCTGAGAGTTGAAAAACCTTACTGCTGACATTTCCAACACCACTATTAGTAGTATTCAGCCTCAAGAGAGTGTGATTAGCAGCATGTATTTTTTTGTTGATTCAATACAATTGTTTTTTTCTCATCCTTTTTATAATGCAGCAACTTGTGCTGCCACTTGCACTGTAGTGCAGCTCCCTCCACTACAGCTAGTTCAAACAGTGTATATTCTTGGTTTACCCTGAAGAAGTTAATAAAGGAGAGTCTGGCAGAGTCTACTGTGCGGGTCATCAGAAACATTCCCTAGTGAGGAATTACAGTGTAGTACTGAAGTTGAGTACCCAATACCTGTTGTTACTAGAAGCAAGGAATTTGGTGATGATAATTCTGATTCCACCATCTCTGCAGACAAAGCACTTTTAACTCTGGCCCAGGACCTTTTCGACAATACATATGATGAGTCAAAGGAGTTAGAAAAGTAAAGTGTGGAAAGGATATACCTAAATATACCTAAATATACCAGAAGTCTGTCTTACTGAGGTAAGAAGCAGAACAATAACGTACTAGTGCTGGTACTGATCCTTTATCTGATTCTGTGCAGTTGTCACAATCTACTACCAGCAATACATGTTCCACTACTACTACCACCACCAGCGGCAAGACTACTGCACTGGGGCCCACATGCTATGGGGTCCCATCGTGTCCTCAGGGGCCCTGTAGTGATGTCTGCACTGGTGGAAGTTACAGCTGGTCACTTATTTCCAGCTAAAGCAGAGCACCACACGGGAGGAAGGCAGAGGAGAGAAGCAGAGTGGGAGAACCTCTGACTCGTAGCAGTCTGAGGCAGCCTACTGGACCCCAGGGAAGCCACACTAAAGGTGGATTAAAATATGTAAATGTTGCATGCATGTGTGTATGTGTATTCGTCTGTGTGTCTATATGTGTATCATTGAGTCTGTATGTATATCTGTTTGTCTGTGTATATGCATGTGTGTATGTATGTGTGTATCTGTATGTGAATCTCTTTGTTTGTGTATCTGCATGTGTTCCTGTGTGCATTCAAGCACCCAAACACTGCTCAATGCTAAATACAACCCTGCAAGGATGGGCAAATGGTAGATCCCCAGCTGACAAAGCATTGTGGGAGTTGTACGACAGATGGCGATCTACCTTTTGGCCATCGATAGAGAGGGCCTCATAAAATTCTTGCATTAGGACCCTCTCTATTCTAGTTCATCCACTGTCTGCCACCACCAGAGGCAGGTTGGACAGAAACTGTCACAACCCCCATCATCCGATAATTTTAAAAAGTAAAACACAGGAAAAAAGTTCATCTTGCCTAGCTGCTACTGCCAGTGCCGCT